TAAAAATAGATAATTATTTATTGCTATTTTTAAATATTTTTTTCTTCTTTTTCTTCTTTTCCCTTCTTTTCTTCAAATTCTAAGAGATTTAAAGTTTAACATATCAATGCTTGATGGAAAATACCTGTTCTATGTTATCTCTAAGATGTTTGATATTCAGAAAGGTAGATTCAGCTCAACTGCATATATTATAGGGTAATAATATCATTAAACTTCTCTTCTGCAGGGTTAACAACTTAAGCTTGCAGACCAAAAATTAGAGAAAAAGAAGGGCTGCAAGGACAGCCAACATTTTTGCCCTAGCCTTTCAAGGTCAGTGAGGAGTCAGGACATAAGAGAACATGTACTGTAAAATCATGTAACTCAGTGGGGTCCCAAATTTTCTGATCAGAAACATTATGGGGCCACACAGGAAAGTGATCAATGATGTAGAGTGTGCCTAAGGAGAGTCCCCTAGACAGAAAACATTATTTCATGCTTTCACAGAGAATTCCTCAAGCAATAGCCATGACTTATCCATATGGCTGACAATGACAGAGTATCTACAAACTGTGGTACAATCTTTCAGGGTAAATCCTGAGGGGATTTGACTGACCTTGACAGATACAACAGTTACATTTCTTGTTATATAGTTCTTGCTTTATCTTAGTCTTCGCCATCCAGCCAAAAATTGTAAAACTGGAGCATAAAATTAAAGCCATATTAATATGCTAAACTGTAAAATTCTCAAGTGAACATCTTTTTTTCTTATTAATTTTATTGAGGAACAAATTGCAATGAAACAGTTTCAGGGCAGGCAGTAGGAGAGTTACAAGAATTAATACATTGCATATTATTGGCTTCGTGGTAGTTATTCATTTTACAAGATGCAGAAATGATATCCTGTACAGACACTCTTAGTAAAAATTGCACGGGTAATATTTGAAAGAATTAACAACTGGGACCTCCTCTTATTGAGAAGTTTTTGCACATCAAAAGTAATTACCAATAAAGTGAAAAGACAACCCAAAAATTAGGAAAATTTATTGACTAATAAGCACTCAAACAAAGGTCTTCTCTGTATAATTTATAAAGAACTAAAAAAACATTAAAAGACCCAATCCAGGGATGAGCATCCAAGATAAACACACACTTCTCAGAGGATGAAATTATAGAAGCGAATAAATATATGAAAAAATGCTCCACATCTGTAGCCATCCATGAAATACAAATTAAAACAACACTGAAGGGCTGGTCAAATAGCTCAGCGGATTAAAGCACTTGCACAGAGTGTCAGGGGCTTGGAGTTAGATCCCTGAGCCTGCTGTGCTGCTCCCGCCCCCGAGCACTCTGAGACAGCAATTGAGACTGGGCGTGTTTGTGCGTGCCTATAATCCCAGCTCTTGGGAGGCTGTAAACAGGCAGATGACTACAAGTCTGATATAGTAGCGAGACCGTGAACACACTGTAGACCCTTCTCTAAAAATACAAAACAAAACAAAACGAAGAAAATACTGATATATCTTCTCTCCCAAGAAATAATGGCTATCATAAAGAAATTAATGAACAACAAATGTTGGAAAGGCTGTGGCGGAAAAGGAACACTTCTCCACTGCTGGTAGGAATGTAGACTGGTGCAACCATTATGGAAATCAGTGTAATACTGGGACTCAAGTCAACAACTCCTGACATTGCTAGTCTTGGGGATAACCAACTACTATTATGGGCCACTGGACCATATTGGATTACTTTGCTGAATTCATTCACCTACAATATTTTAATGGCAATGGAATACCCATCTCTGACAAACGTAAACAAAAAAGGGGATATAAATGAAGGACCATTTTGTAGTGGAATATATATATCTGAAATAGGTCCTCATCCTGATACTACCCTCATTTGAACATTCACACACCCACACTGCAGACACTAGAGCTGAATGGGAGATCAACCCTAGGCTTTCTCAGGCACAAATGCAGGCTTCCAAAGAATATTCTTAGACACATATTGTCAAGTCTCAGACTTCTGAGTCAAGTACCTTGGAACTGACCTGGATCTCACCAAGCCTATTGAGCAAGAAGCACCTATATTTGAGACAAGCTCCAAGCTTCACACATGGCATGCCTGAGAAATCCAAGCTAGTTGTTATAGAAGACCACTAAATATTAGGATTCAATCTTTAGTCTAGATCAATTGTCTCTCTCTTCTTGCCTATTTCATGTGTATGGTTTGTATATGCTTCAAACACGTCCTGCATAGATTTATATGTTGAAGTCTTGGGCCTGAGGAGCCATGTTTAGAGGTGGCTTTAACTTTTGAAAAGTGGGGCCTAGTGAAAAATAATTACATCTCTGGGCACGACCCTTATAATGCATGAATGCTGGTATTTAAGAGCAAGATAGTTCTTAACATGCAGTTATTATCAAGCAGGGATACCCCATTCTTGGGACTTTCTTACATATTGCAGGTTTCTTTTGTCCTCTTGTGCCACAGGAAACCATCCCCACAGACTGAACAGATGGTACTTCCTGGTCATTAACTGTCAGCCTCTAAAACACTTAACTCTCTAAACCTCATTTGTTTATAAACTCCTACCCTCCAATATAGCAACAGAAGATACAGCAACAGAAAACAAAGCTGCCAGGAGATTCTCTTTTACCTACCCAAGTCAACCACTTTATTGCTTTGACCTCCCATTCTGGGGTCTACCTCCTCTCCATTCTGCCACTCACCCAGGCCCACTTCCTCACCTTTACTCCAACCATGGTGAATGGTTTGTTATCCCCACTCCTCACTCTTCCAGTGTTTTAGGAATCCATTTAATCATTCCTCTTACATAAACCCTACTTGGGCCTTCAAATAATCTTCAAACTGATATTTGTTCTCTTTCATTTCTTATCCCAAGGACTCAGTCCCCAGTGCAATGACTGGCATAAAAAAATAAAAAGGTGATATTATCAATAAATAGATCATTGATCAGAAAACAAACTATTGACAGCAATGTGCAGAGAAGCCCGGGATTGTCACAGTGCGGCTTCTACATCAAGAGGACAAGGAAGGACAAAGGAGCTGGCTGTTACTCTTTTGCCCCATCTCTCTGACTACAGTCAAAGTTGATTAATTATTAATTGATATAAGTAAGTGATTAGTCTGTATTGTAGCGTAGTCCTGAAATCCTAGCCACTTGCAAGGCTGAGACAGATAAAGTACAAATGCAAAGCCACCCTAGGCACATTAGCATGAGCCAGTGTTAAAATAAAAAATGATTGGGAAATAACAAAAGGCAGAGGCCGAGGGTTCAATCCCCACTATGGCAAATAGATACATACTAAAGTGATGGCTGCCAAGATGTGGCACAGAGACTAGTAATCACTGGATTCTGTTTATGATTGATAAACTTGTGCAATATTTTTATGCCTTGTATACTTTGATTGTGATCTGAAAGTGTTCAACTGTAATAAAAATTTTGATACTGGACTTTGACCATTCAAGATAGGAACCTGACATAGGTAGGTATGGTTCTATTGTCAATAAAGAAACCAGAATTTTCCCTTTTTTATTATTTTATTTTACAAACAGGGTCTCCATATGAAACCCATGATGTCCTCAAACTCATGGTCATCCTTCTGCCTCAGGCTCCCCAGTGCCAGATTATTACTATATTCATAATTGCATAACAAATATTTATCATGGGGAACTGAGGCACGTACATCTCACAGTATTATCTTGTTACTTCCCCATTTTTCACCTCCTTAATAAGCACTTTTCACTGCCTCTGTTTTCTCCTTTTTCCTCCTGTTTGCCCTCTATTTGACTCAGGCCAATCCTTGTTATCTAGGCTGACAGAGAAAAACTCTTTTTGATAGGTGCCACTGCCCTTTTTCTCTGTGTTCCAGATAAACATCCATCATGCAGCACAGGACAGTGAAATTCTACACCTCAGACTCATACCCAGACAGTTCTGTATGCCCTGTCATCCTCTCCAGACACAGGCTATCACTCAATTTCAACAGAGGTAGGACACCTGCAACAATCTGACTGCATTCCAACAGTGGTCAGAACCATGTCCTTACACACTGATTTTCCCCACCCAGCCTCTGAGCCCAAAGTAGGCTTTGATCTCCCAGCCCACCAGGGCTTCAGTCCATCTGTGTCTCACCTTCAGGAAAGACTTGAGCAGCCCTTTTCTGTCCATATGGAGAAGATTCCCCAGGAAGGGAAGAGGACGTGGGCCTGGTGGGAGGTGGCCATGGGCCTTTGGGTGGCCCCTGAACAGGAGAAGTAGGAGGCCTGTGAGGACAGCAAGGAACAAGAGGATGCTGAGCTCCATGGTTTTGGTGCCACTGCTGTCCACTCCTCTGCAGTTTCAAGTTGAACTTTATAACCTCAGCCTGTGTCCTTATGCAACTTCACAAAATCCCACCTCCTTTATCATCCATGTCCAAGAGTGTGACTTGGAAGAGAGTTAGAAGGTAGCCACTCCTCCTCTTTGGGCATCTCAGGTCCCTGCACACTCCCCTGTACTTAACCCCCCCTTAGATGTTGGCACAGATGTTGTGAATGAGAGACCAAGATGCATATGAGTGTGTGTCTGTATGTTGGGTGCCTGTGTAGCCAATTTTCTGAAGGATCATTTTCCCCTTGAGTTTAGACTGTCCAGGATTTCAACTTCCTCTATATACTTGTATGTTTTTAATCTATGAAGGACTACTTTATATTTCGATATGAATGTGTAGTTATGTATTTCTGTATATCTGCCCAGGTGTGCTTCTGTGTATGTTCCTGCATGTGTGAAAGCATCTGTGTATTTATTTGGTTTCACATGTGAAGATGTGTTTGAATTTAATAGGGGAGAAGGTAGGCACTTCTGCTCGTGTTGGTGAGTCCAGGTAGAGAAAAGGGGTGGGGGGAGACGTGGGAGGAGATGGAGTAGCAGCAGTACCATTCCTGCTATCTTATGCAAACACTTGCTGAACTCAGGACTCTGATCCCACAGTTGAGTCATACTATATTGACCCTAGAGGAGGGGCAGAGAATGACAAACATTTAGAGGTCAAATCCGTACGTTTCTGACCTTGCAGTGGTGCCACCACAGAGTTTTTTGATCCCAGAACATTGCTCCTTCTGTGGTTGGTCATCTGACACTGAAAATGGAGCTTTGTTCAAATCTAGGACTTCCTGGTAGAAAGGCATAAATACTTTACATAGGATCCTCACACTTTGGAGAAGGTATTAATCAATCCCTGGTGCCACAGGGAAAAATTTTTTTAAAGGTGCTGAGAGGAAGAGGCAGATACAAGAAAAAAATGCAGACACAAAAATGCAAAGATCAATGAGGCTTGTAATATAGAGACAGAGGCAGAGAAAAGGAACCAAGTGGCCCTGAAAGGGAGACACACACTCAAAGACACAGGGACAAAGAGGCCTCCAGAGGTGCAAGTTGCCAGCCCAACAGGGCAGCTAAGACCCATCAGAAGCCTAGCACCCAATATGACAGTCCCCATCATATCAGTTCCAATGAGAAGTCTAAACTCAGTTCTTCAACTGCATGGGTTAGAAATCAGGCCAGGATAGGAAAAACATCACTAGCAGGCTGAGAAGAGAGAAACAGAGACAAAGACAGAGAGACAGAAAGAGATTGAAATGGAGAGACACAAGACAGACAAAGTCTCCACGTCTACACTCTATGTCTCTTCATAGTCTGTTCCTTAGTGTCTGAGTATCTTTTCCTGTTCTTTCTCAACCTATTTCTCTGTCTCTTTGTCTGTCTCTGCCTCAGTCTCTCCATATCTTCATGCTTCTCTCTGTCTCTGTCTCTCCCCCTGAAATCTCTTTCAGTCTCTTTTCTCTGTCTCTGTCTATTTTCCGATCTTATCATCCTGCTAGTGAGGTTTTTTCTTCTATCGGCCAGACTTCTAACCCTTGTATTTGCAGATCCGAGTTTAGACTTCTCCTGGGAACTGGATCTAGCCCACAATCTCTCCACAATGGTCTATTGCAGCTATCATTCACCAGAAAATCTGAAGGAAACTTTTTCTATCACAATCAGTGTTAAATAATTAACACCATCTTTAAATGACTCCTAGTTCAGTCCTCTCAAATATAGTAGTTGCCACATGGTATTTCTTCTCCAACTCCAGCCTGTTCTGTGACATGAATCACTTTTGTATTTAAAGACCCATGTTGTCTGTGCAGTTTCCAGGACCACTAGAACTGCTGGCCTAGTCAGTTGTTTCTCCTTGTAGCTGAAGACCCTCCCTCCACACTTACCTCCTCTCTTACCTGGAACTGATATCATCAATCATCAGCTTAGCTGGTAGATAGGTCAGCATATGTGTTTCCTGTATTGAAGAAAACAAAATATAGGGCAGGGTTGGAGTTGGTAGGCAGCATGGACAAAGCAAGAACACCCATATGCTCCAGAACATCCATGAAGGGAAGGCATGTAGTGCTTCATGAATAATTCGCAAAGTCTCATGCTTTGGGGGAGATATTGTTGTACTGCCTAGGTTGTAGATGTTGTAGAGAGTTAAGAACACAATTACTGAAAGTCTTACCTAAGTCACATAGTCAGTTAGGCTGTGTTGCTCAATGGGTAATGTCTTAATGCTACCTCTGGCAGCATATGTCATCTTGAGCAGAGTCTGATTAAATTTTTCCTTTGATCATTAAGGCCGGGGAGATAGCTCAATAGAGTAAGCACTTGCTTGGCAAGCACAAGGGACTGAGTTCCATCTCCAGTTCCACCAAAAAAAAAAATAGTTTGAGGCTGGAGAGATGGGTCAGTAGAACAAGTGCTTCCCTGGCAAGAGAAAGGGCCTGAGTCAATCTCCAGTTCCACCAAAAATAAAAAAATAAATAAATACATAAATTTGTCCTTTGATCCATTTTGACATTGAATTGCTTTTCACTTACTGTTGACATTTATACATTCTAAATTCAAGCCTTTTTCTATGCACATAATTCTCAGATGTTTTGTCCTAGTCTCAGGTTTGCCTTTTAATTATCTGAATAGTATATTTTAAGGATCTACACTTTCTTTTAATTTTGATTAAATTTAATTTACTATTATTTCCTTGGAGTACAAACTAGACCATCTTTGCCCAACCCCAAAGGACAAATTTCAATCTGTGTCTTATTCTAGTAATTTTATAACTTGAGATTTTATCTAGGTATATTGAGAGTTAATTTTTACCCAAAGTGGCAGATATGGATGAAAGTTCATCCTTTGCCCTATGAGCTATGACTTTTTTTTTTTTTGATGTGGAATCACTCCAACCCTACAAAGATACTTTTATATAATAAATTTATTGAGAAATAAGTAGCATTGAGACAGTTTCAAAAAAGGTAAGGACTGTTACAATAATTAATACATTACATATTGTTGTCTTCATAGTAGGTATTCATAGCACAAGATGCAAATATGATATCTTATCTAAATACTATTAGAATAATTCTTTCTTCTCACTGAACAAAGACAAATAAGCAGAATATGTACGCTATTTTGTATATACAAACATATATTATTTTCACTACAAAATAGTCCTTCATTCATATCCCCTTTTTGTTTACTTTTGCCAGAGATGGGTATTCCATTGCAATTCAAATATTGCAGGTGCTTGGGGCTGGGGAGATGATTCCGCTGGAGGGGCGGGGGGAAAACATTGCAGGTACTTGAGAGAAAATATTCTCTTAGGCTTTCACAGAGAGCAAATTATTCAAGCAATGGCCAATACTTATGCATATGGCTGACACTGACAAAGGATCTACTAACTGCAGTACAGAGTATCAGGATAAATCCTGAGGGGATTTGACTGACCTTATCAGATAGAAAAGTTACATTTGATGTTATATAGGTCTTGCTTCATCTTGGTCTTAACCATTGAGCAGAAAAGTATAAAAACGAGCTCTAAAAAGTAAAGCCACATTAATATGCTGAGCTGTAAAAGGCTCAAGTCCACATCTTCTGACATTGCCAGCCTGAAATGTAACCCACTACTATTATGGACTACTGGACCATAGAGGATTACTTTGCAGAATTCAGGCACCTGAAATATTTGGGGTTTTTTAATATATTTAAATGAATGATAATTGAAGATATACTCATCAGTGAAATAATCCAGACCAACATTTGTAAATATCATGCAGTATTCCTAGTATAAGAACTCAAAAGAAGAAATAAAAATAGAAAGGTATAAAACAATTAAAAGGCAAGCAAGATGGAGGATTGGGAAGATGGCACAGTAGAATAAGCATTTTCCTGGCAAGCATCAAGGGCCTGAGTTCAATTCCCGATTCCACCAAAAAAAAAAAAAAAAAGAGGAAAGCGAGAACTTGAGGATTACACAATGAAGAGAGAGCAAGGAGAAAAGCTAGAACACATGACAGGGGCAAAGAATAAATTTTATGCACAAGATGGTTAAGGCAATGATTCTGAGAATCTTCAGCAGGTTTTTGAAACTAGCAGTTAATTGTCAGGATTCTGACCCTGAATAATTATATATGCTCATACCTGTGAACTAAGCAACTGCACTGAACATACCAACACGTTATGGTAGGGTCATGCTTGGAAAGCCTGTCATTCTTGTCTTCTAAATACGTACAGTTTGTCATCACATAACAGTTACTGTCATACTGTCTCTGAAGTAAATGTTTGTATTTTTGGAAAGGTATTAAATGAAAAAAGAGACAAGAAAAAAAGTCACAGGACTTCCTGCTTCAATGCTGTATATGGTTAGATTTCCAAATTTCTGTGTAAAAATATGTAACTCTTTATTCCTATTTTTAAAATATTTTTAAAAGATTTTAAATTTTTTCTTCATATTCTGTAGGTACTTAAAGCTTAACATATCACCACTTGATTGAAAATACCTGTTCCATGTTATGCCTAAGATGTTTGACATTCAGTCAGATAATGAGGTTAAGTTCAACTGCCTAAGGTATAGTGCAATAATAATAAGCTTCTCTTCTGGAAGGTTAACTGCCTAAGTTTGAAGGCCAAAAATTAGAGAAACAGAAGGGCTGCAAGGACAGCCAACATTTTGGCACTAGCCTTCCAAAGTCAGTGAGTACTCAGGACATAGGAGAACCTGTACTATAACATCATGTGACGCAGCTGTGTCTCAAGTTTTCTAATCAAGGAGATTATGGAGCCACAGAGGAATGTAAAGTGTGCATAATAAGAGTCACATGGACAGAAAACATTCTCTCAGGCTTTCACAGAGAGCAAATTGGTCAAGCAATGCCCGTGACTCATCCATATGGCTGACACTCACAAAGGATCTACAAACTGCGGTGCAGGGTTTCAGGACAAATCCTGAGCGGATTTGACTGATCTTATCAGATACAAAAGTTACACTTCTCATTATATAGATCTTGCTTTATC